ACGGTAAACATATGGGGTCGCATGCGACGGTTAAGTACAATCGGGTACATTTTCCTTGATTGTCAAGGAACATAATGATCTTTAAACAGCTGATTAAAGGAGATATGGTAGTTATGGGTTGATAGAACTCATTTCACCTCTAACGCAAAGCTGTATATGAGAAGGATACTTCTAAAACACGCCGAAGCAACAATCAGTATTAAGTTGAACAGAAAGCATAATGAAACTTTTTCTGAAAGTAAGAGGAACAATACTACACGGCATGAAATTACATGACACTCATGCACTCAGTCTGTGATATGCAGCGTTTTCTGTTAGATGAATCTTTTGCACCGTCGAAGAGCCGATTTTGAATCCGTACTTAATCGAGCATCGTTCGAAGTTCATTTTAATGTGCAAGGGAACCATTTCTAAACTGTATCTGGCTTACTGTAACACCATGCGCTGTCTGCTTCCTCGGTGCCGTTCAGAACAGGTAGCGGCTCAGTTGCCGTTTGGTATCTTCTTCGTCTTCTTGTGGATCTTCGGCAGCCTGCGCCGCGCTGCTACGCCCCCTGCGTTTCCCTTGAAAACCCAAGCTACGACTGAGCCAGTATAATGTTTGATAACGGCAATGCAATGAGGTGCAGGTGACTGAGTTTTAGGGTTACCTCGCCACGATCCCTAACTCTTCTCTTTCATCATTCGGGCTTGGGACCGGAAATGGCGGTGTTGGAGCAGCAGTGGAACAGGTGAATTAGTGTTCATGTATCTCGAGGTTGTATTCACAGGTGAAAGTAAATGGGAGAAAGAGACTGACAGACGAATTGGAATAGCCATCGGCGGCCTGCGTGAATTAGCCTTAACGGTTGTGACTAAAGCAGCCATTAGTCTGAGGGCTACGTTCTCTGCGTTCAAGCAATCTGTATCCTGAGGTTCACCTACGGTCCTGAGTCGTACACCATGACTTGAAAACTTCGATCCCAGATAGAAACGGCTGAAATGGGATTTCAGAAGAGACTCACTTGGTTCACGCGCCTCGACATGGATATGTAGAATATGCAGATATCTAAAAGAGCCTTAGTGTGCAGCCGCTTCTTCTCCAGATTGAGAAGTCACGTCTGAGATGGTTTGGACACGTCTTGCGAATGCTTTAGATAGGAAGGCGAAACGGATACTATTTGTCCAATCGACCAGCCGAAGATCCCGGGAAAGGCCAGGTTATTCGAGGGACTCTGCTGTGAACTCGGGTATCATTTGTCGAAACTCAAAAGTTGTCATCGGATCAGGAATGTTGGAAGCACTGTCGGACTCGTCTGCCTCATCGACCTCATGAATGGTCATCGTAAGTGACTTACTGAGTGTAAAGGGTTCAGCTAGGTTCAGCTTTCCAAACAGGTTTTAAAATTGGAAACGGTCATTATTTAAATATTATTGTGTGCAACAAATACAGCGGCAGCATGATAAAGTATTTATTTTAGAAGTTGCGAATCTCGTATCCTACACATATCACCATACGCGCGCACGAGGCTACAAGAAGAAGACGTATTACGAGGTACCACGACTTATGGAAAAATACAAAGTTCATAAAAAGTGAGTGAAATGAGTTATTCAGTATTCTCATATTAAGAAAAAATTGTCATTCCTCGGTTGCTGGTGCGATTGGGCTCGGAAGAGTTCGAGATACTGTCGGCTGTGAGGCACGCGTTGATCAGATCGAGAGATCACTATTGCGATGGTTTCATCATGTGATGAGGATGCCACAAACAATTCCCAAGGCTCACCTTCTTTTCAAAGACACGGCGAAGATGTATAGAGGCCGACTGCGAACCAGATAGCTCAATTACGCAAAAGACCTGGCATTGTCACGCTTGAGAATCCAGACCATGGATCTATTCAGCATTACTGTAAACAAGAACCAATGGAAATACGTTTCTCGCAACCTAGAAGGAGAAGCTTTCTGAAAATGAGCGAATGAACATGGTTGATTTTCATCTATAAGCAAAGGGGCGGTGCAATGAGCTGCTGGCGTAAAGTGAGAAATTGATTTTTCCTTCTTTACATTGTCTTCGCTGTTTCAATCCGGAATCATTATTTTTGTTGCGATGTATTCATCGGTGGTATCAATAGCTCACCTGAACATTTGGGTTCCATTTTGTCACCCTTTCTCCTACGGATCTTGGCAAGGTTCTTTGTTTGAACACACTTTTGTTCAACCCACGTTCGAGACGCGGTCCTGCGTCCTATGCACTGCAGACGCTTAATTACCATGAAGCCGTAGCCTGCTTAAATCGTCCCCCTAGGCGTCTAGAAGCAAGGGGGCGGTGCAATGAGCTGCTGGTGTAAAGTGAGAAATCGATTTTTCGTTCTTTACACTGTGCCTTCGCCGTTTCAATCCGGAATCATTATTTTTTCTGTGAGGGTACTTTCCATTTAGTATATTTTGGTTTTTCATGTATTCTACTGTGCGATTGATTTTCATTTGTAACATCTATTGAAATTACAGCAGATTCACTTTAAATAACATAATTGTGATTATATTTCAGTATCGCTCCAGAACCAATTAATTGACCAGCTGTACGGAACTTACCCACTTACAGATATCTTTTTCATTCGTAACTATTAAGTTAAACTTCACTGTTATTGGGTTTTACTTGTACAGTAACAGTATGTATTCAAGCACCGAACACATGATAATAAAAGTATGATTTTACGGCATCGAGTTATAGTCCAGCCTCTTGCAGTTTGACGTCTAAAGAAAAGAGTTATGCAAAGAGCGCATAATTTGAGCAATTGCAGTTATTCAGCGTGTCTAGCATTCATATTATTGGTGACAAGCGAAGTTTTAAGAGCCGGTGTTGTGCGCTTTCGCATTATATAATGGACGTGACTCGCTGTGCAGTAGGATAGGAATAATCACATATCTCCACCGAATCTAAATGCTCCATTGACTTCGTAGAACAAAAAATTGGACAAGTGAAATGCACCCGAACGATTGTACGCATATATTCACATATTGGCATAAATGGTTCAGACGTTATATGTGACATAAGTTTCAAAAGTGAGCGAAAATGAATGAAAGCATTTATGAAAATAGTTATCGAATTCAGTTTAACGCATCAGATATTTTTATTGCCATAATCAGTATGGTTTAACATTTGTATAATATTTCTTCTGATGTACAATTTTCGATCAGTAGAGAATTGATTTGTATTATAGTTACTGTTCGTTGTTTACACTCATTTGGCTGAACCCGGCCTGCGACGACGTGGACCTCACAGAGACGTTAAAAGTAGGGATTAGCATATGTGCAGAATGCCAGACAGGTGCTCATCGAAAACAACCCAATGGAACCTGCATCGGTGATGGAGTTCAGTACACGTCAACAATGTGGAATATGCTTTATACAAGACGGTGTTACGGCTATTGGAGAAAACTGCTCGATTCGACCGACTGCGACTGCGCAACGTTTTACCCGGAAATGCCAAAATATTTGTTTGTGTGATATATTTTTTGCAGTGTATTATTTTCTGATATTTTCTTGTGCTGTTGCAATGCATGTTTATTCTCTGATATTGCCTATGCAAAAGCACTGCAACTGCAAACCAAGTCATACCGCAAGTCGAACAGATGAGCAAATCAAATTTACACGCTTTAAGAAACTGCTAGGCTTTATTATTACAGCTGAACGCCATGCATCTTATCATGATCGTTTGAAACTGCCTGGTGGTTTCAAATAATGCTTTCAGCCTTCCTACATCTGAAGTGACAGCGAAATTTACTGCACAGGACATGATGAATAAATTGCTAAATGCAAGTTTACAGCTTAAACAATGCGTCACGTTTTAAACTGCTGTCAAGTAGGTGAAGGCGACCTGTGGCTGTTATATGACACAAGCGTCATATGACATGAACGTATTTCCTATGATCACACCGGAACATGATGCCGTGCTCGTTGTTCGTAGTTCAGCGAAGTACCGTCCGTTTCTCGCTTGGTTGCAGTAAAGTACACTGGGATGAATGGCATTCCCTTTGCTCACTAGAATTGACAGTTTTTAACAGGGAAAGTTTTGAATCCTTTAGGATTTGAATCAAGCAGCCCTAAAGTGCAAACTAAAACGTGGTTTACTGTAAGATTTTGATTTTCACAAGTGTACCTGCCAGATATGCTAAATCGGTAAACCGTTAGTCGTGCATAGAACGCAATCATTTGTCTGAGGTTGACAAAATGTTGTCAATTCTGAGATTCGTTTTCATATGTATTTCTCATTTTTCGCTATACAAGTGGCGTAAATGATGTGCTTCATTTTTATTTTTTGAAGTTACCTGTTGCAGGCAATATAAATATCTGTAGTACTGTTTAAACATTAACATTCTTAACTTAAATATGTGATCGCATCAGAAATGTATTGGTTCGTGATTATGCAGGCAATGGCTCTGAATCCTCATTGCGAGCTCCGAATCCTTCTCATCGCTACAGCTTCGTTTCCGCAGAGGTTGTTCTTTCCGCGTTAAAAGACCCACGTGTATCTGACAGCAGTTATATCATTCGTTGACTGATTCTGAGTCTCGACAGAGTGTTACGATTAAAAATGCATTTCGCTGTACATCGTTAAAAGTGCAGTCATTTGTTTTGGTCGTTTTCCTGTCCGCAAATTGGACGTGGAAATTGAATTTACGAATTGTGTGAAGCAAAGATGGAAAAGAATCGTGGCTTCAGCATCAAAATTAAATCATCAAATTTAAATTGATTGTCCCAGCATCGGCTGAGAATGATGAAACAGAAACCTAGAGCGAATCTGCACGATTGCAGCCGCACATCTGAAAAGTGTGAACACGAAAAGTCTCACCGCACTGAATCAGTTTCGCTAGGGACAAACTTACAATGGGTTTCCAGAAAACTGCAGCAGCTAAAGAGGCTGAGATCTAGGAATGATGATCAAGAAGTTATTCTTAATCGAGAGACAGAAGAGCTCAAAATGACTTGAAGTAAGTCTACCTAAGAATTTTTGTTTTAAATCGGAGTATTCCCTGTCGATGTTCGAAACCCAAAAGAACAAGCCATATCCGAATCGTAACTACTCGTTTATGATCACCAAGTTAGAACAGTCTAGCAATGAATATTATCATCCACTAAGCAAAATCATAGTATGATGCTCATAGTATGGCAACGTTTC